CAGGACGACTCCACGCCGCCCAGCCGCAGCCGCGTGCTGCTCAAGGAGGACAACTAGCCTGCATCGCATCTTATATTATCATTAAATGTTGTCAATTCAATGTTCATTTCATTTTAACACACATATGTATACAAACTTTGCTTGCTTCTGACCTTTCCAAATAATCGTCTGTTAACTCTTGGTAAAATATTTACTAAAACGTTTTTTCTATGAAGAAGCCAAAAGCAGTTATTTATAAGGACAGGAACAATATGATCAAAACAAATTGATTAAAAGTAATTTGACATTTGTAAAATTCATTTATTTACATTATCTTTCAATCTATATTGTGATTTGAATAACATAAACACATATACATTTATAACAGTGAAATGTCTCAAACATGGCCAAACGGCAGGACTTAACTTATGGAACTAAAATATGTACAAATCTTGCTAAAATTATAATCTTACTATTCTCATTCTCAAAGAGTTTGAAGTCTAAAAATTGACATAAAAACTTCTCATAACAATAACATATGAAATATTTGTATTTGTCTAAATAACATTCAAAGTTACTGGGATTAGCTCGGGTATTGTTACATTTATACATAGAGATATGATAAATGGATCAAGTTATTACAGTAATTGCTACTTATTTGAACAAACTGGATGATAATAACAATTTGGGAAGAAGCTAATTGAATTATCTAATATTTACATTTTCGACAAAAATAGTAAATAATGTAATGGCTGCCGAGTTTCATGGAATTGACATATATTTGGTCGAAAAATTCGCCCGTTAGGCAATGTATTAGTATGTATTGCATACACCAAGTATCAACATAAACATTTAGTTAACTACAGTATATAATTTAAATTGTGCTTCTGGGTCAGTGAAGCTTGTTCATGTTTACTTGCCAGTAGAATGTAGAAGCCAGTGGAACATTACAATCAGCAAAGAGAGAGCTATAAACAAGTAATCAAACAACTTATACATGTAATGCCTTTTCCCGGAGAGTGGACTCTGCTTTCTCATAACTATTTTTTTCACTTCTTTTATTTACAGGCACATAAAATATTTAATGCATTATGGCCAAGTTATTAGTTTTTTCTCTTTTTTATGTGGCGGTGCTTCACAAACTGGACTCTGTAAAACAATTACATATAATAAAAATATACTACATTGTATTCTCGTCTTGTCTAATTGAATTTTAAAATGAAAATTGAAATATAGTAGTTAAAAATGAATGTAACACTTACAGCATCAACTGACATTTTTCTTTTTAAAGTATCAAAGTCATTGTTTATTTTTTTATTTTCGAGTTTAATCCGTTTCATGTGCCCTGATAACAAATCAGGCGGCGGCTTTAATCTCTTACTGAGCTCATGTGACAAGTTCTTGTTTTGATTATCGCTAGCTAGGCACACTGTAGCCGCCGGCTCCGGACTTACATGTCGTCTATTTAAGACCTTCCCTCTTCCGGAGTCTCGGTGCTTCCTTTGTCCGTAAGGTACACAATAATGATGAAATAAGTCTAACAAGTCATCCCTACTCATTGTATCCATATTAGGTACTCGCAAATGCCTCTATAAAATACAAATAATAGTTTAATTATTATTAAAAACAATACGCGCAAGACAGCAAACATAAAATTATACTACCTGTTGTATTATTGTAACAAGTTGGTCATTCGTTAATAGTTCAGGATGTAGCAACATGTCAAATGGGACATTAGTCATTTTTGTGATAATAATAATACAGCTTTTAGGAACATAATGTTTAACCTAATCACATCTTATTAATTATTTTCATTTATTGGTGGACGAGATAGCAGCACAGGTGCTGAGGGCGGTCGACCGCCATAATAATTGTCAAAGTCAAATCTTACGTCACTGTCACTTTTTTTTTGGCGTCAACTAAAGACAACTCCTCCTTTAGTCAAGTGTCTATGGTTTTATCCAAGTTCTTACACATACTCTTTGATGCCGTCCCATTTTCATTCATTCTAAATCACAGATCTCGGGGTTCCAACAATTGTCAATTGTCAGCTGTCAATCATTGTTGCTGTCAAATAGTAGGCTTCGGTTGTTTGCTTCATAGATTTTTTACTTTTGTTTTAGACATTTGAAGTCGTTTTATTGAAATATATTTATGCGTATTTCAGTGTTCTACGAACAAATGCTTGGTTTATCGTTTTACTTCTAACCGCCGTTAATTTTGTCAGCCATACCTGTGTTTTTTTTTCTTCTCAAATTATCGAGAACAGAATAAACCTCGCAAACCGTGTAAATCCCTTCATTTTAGATAGAAATATTTTTGGAACAAGTGTTTAAGTGTTAAAAAATTACGCGCAAATGCCAAGCGTCATCAGGGTCACACCGATGCGAGAACTCGATCGGTATAGTGTTACTCGGGGGTACTATGCTGTTTATCAGTGCCTTGGCGATCGGCATGATCACCGGCCTGCAGAATGTCACGACGGAGGTGTCAACGACGGACAGTGACGTTGCCATCACAACAGAGGACATGGGCCTCCTGGAGCCGACGAGGCTCGCGCCGCCCGCCGGCGACTCGGTCAACGTGACGTTACAGGATCGGCCGTCTATGTGGGACGTGTACTTGCATCACTGTCCCAAGTGGCGGCCGGTCAACCACATCTTCTTCCAAGTGGCGAATGCATGTTTCCTAGCGTCATTCCTGGCGCCGCACACCCCGGCGGGGCTAGTGTGGCTGCGCGTGGCGCTCGTGCTCGGCTGCACCTTCTCCGGATTGTGGGCGTGGAGTGTGCAGTGCTACCTGGATGCTGTGTTGTGGAACAGTGCATTTATAGTGATAAACTTTGTGTATTTTGCAGTACAGTTCTATTTAATGCGACCTATCAAGTTCCACAAGGATATTGAAGAGGTGAGATTTTATCTTTCATAATCTATCTTAGTCTATAAACCAAAAATTGTTAATAGGGCTCATCCTAACCAACCTCATAATGAGTTGATTGATGTAAAGAAAGGCAGTGAAGGGCCCCTGCATAATGAGATAGTTTAAATAATGGCTGGCAGTGTCTTTATAGTTCCTCTGGTGTTACGGATGTCCATGGGCTTATGCAAGCATAGAGTGTGTAGTGTAGTGTCTATTGCATACTTTCTATTTTGAACTATCTCCCTTAAGATTTTTTGGATTACTTCATATAGAGTTGTGCTAAGTAAAGGATGGGGAAACTAAATAAGTTTTCTCATATTACTGTGGCACTACAATAATCTATACTAATGTTATAAAGCGGAAAGATTAGGATTCTTTTTTATTTTTGTATTTATTGAGGTAATCCAAAAACTACTTGGCTGTTTTCAATAATCCTTTCACTATTAAAAAGCATGTTATCAGTGAGTAATATAGGCTATTTTATTTGATATTTTTAATTTTTATGCGAACGAAGTCACGACCAACAACTAGTCTTTATTTAAATACAGGGTGATTCTCAGCAGACGGATCAACATTTATGCACAAAATATGTTGCCCAATTTATTTATTTTTAATTTTTTTTAATTGTAGTTTCGATTTATTTGATTTTTTGGAAAATAATATGATAAAACAAATTCACAACTAAAATTTTCCCATATGTCCAAAATAATGTGTTTACAGTGGTTATCTTTTTTCATAAACAAGACTAATACTTGGTATTTCATTACCATTATCCCTTTTTTGGAATAACTCACATGAGAATGAAATATTTTTTTTATTCTTGTGTCCTTTTGCTTTTACTAGCATAATCAACCTTAAGAACTTTGAGAAAAGCATAATAATTTTCAAATTGATTGTTTTATTGCAGTTGTGTAGTGTTGAAGTGCACTTATACATCATATCATATTTCTTCCCGATCAAAAAGTCAGCTGATGCAATCAGCAATGGGTCACGAAGTAGGCGGGGGCGGGCAGCGGAGCGGGGGGAGGGCTGAGCGCGCTCTATGCATTGATTTTATTTACGAAAGCTCGTACGCGAAACTAGTAGAAACGAGAGGTATAGTGGGAGTGGTATGTTATATGTATCCAGCTGCAACAGTTACATGTTTGCGTTAGCTGTCAGTGGCCACGAGGCGATAGCGGACAGCCCGCGCCTGTCGTCTGGACTGGCCTGTACTCCCCGTCTACACTAATCACTTTCTAATTCGTCCGCTCCTTGTCGTGTCCGCTCGAGTCTTATGCATTGTGTAATACCACAGTAATACAGCCTATGAGTAATGTATAAGACATTGGCGTATATTATTACACTATACACTTCAATCACGAGCAAAGATGCAAACGTAATTATTTATTCGAAACTTTCCAATCCAAACCATCTGATTCCAATGCAAACTGATTAAAATACAATGCGTTATCATTAGTAATGCTGTTATCAGAATGTGTAATTAGCATTGCTATGTTTGCGTCAGATTAGAACCAGTTTGTACGGAATTGTGCAGCGTCGTCTGTGTCATACGCACGCACATTCCGCTCTATGCATTATTTATTTAATACTTTATATTCGCTGAAAAAGCTATTTAAATCCAGCTAACGTTATCTACAATTTTACCGAACCGGAACCGTCAATTATTTCAATGTCGGCATAAATATGTTAATGATTTTACTTCATTTTTAACCTGGTCCCCGAGAAGCCGTGAATGATATATTAGGTTCAATCTCCTTGTTTACTAGCGGTAAAAAGAAGGCACGCTGCCTCCTGCTGACTACACTAGAGACTTCGTTAGATTTTCAGTTCGTTCAAGAACGTACGTCCTACATCTGTAAGTAGATGACAGGTAGTGTTACCATAGCATCGCGTGTCCCAGATTCGATTCTTCGCGCGGTGAACAGTACTGTGGCCGGGGGGAGGGGGTGGGCTGTCTTCCGCTGAAGGCAGCGCCGTTTCCGCGCTCCCGCGACCCTCGGTCGCTACTATTGAAGCTTTTTCGTGCGGTGGGGCGGACAGGCGCCACTGACAGTAATGAACTTTGATGTACGGCTGCAGTGCGGTTAAAATTAACAATAATTGAGGCATATGCCTTACATACAATTAGAAAGAAGAAACAAAATTAGCGCTTTATAATCATTATATGAACGTAACACAAAATTACTAAAAACATATCTCCAATCGGCATAGATTCGTAGAAAATAGTTATATGTATATTCCACTCAAAATTGTACTAACGGCTTACATATATTTATTTTATATTATTTATTGAAAACATTACATGACACAAATTAAAAAATATGCACAAATATGGCCCCGCAAAAACCATATAATTGGTTTGTCCGCGGGTGCGCTGGTTTTTTTTTTGTGTAGAATTACATAAAATACATACATATATAATATACTGTATATAAATAAAATATTCTGTTCAAGGGCTATTATCAAAAAGATGGCTTTGGTGGATGAAGATGTAAAGGTAATTTCAACTGTGACCTGATCTCTCGCTGGCTCGGCAGCTTCCGGGGGTGGTTCCTCTTGCCACTCGTGCAGCAATGCTAGGTCGCATGTTGTTTACTGAAAAGCCGCTGAAACCTCACGGTATAAGATTGAGAAATTTAAAAAAGAGCAATCGTTTTGAATTTTTAACGCGTCTGAGGATATTGTCATGTGACAGGGATGGTAGATAACTATTTCCCTCGGCCGAGGTTGTTCGCGATATTTCTGAATAGACATCACACAAAGGCCTTAATGGCATGTGAAACCGCGAGCCGCGTACAATTGATCGCGCCTCGGCACTAGAGGCTCCAGAGGTAAGTGGGTCGCCGCGCCGCCCGCCGCCCGTCGCCTGTGACGTCACGCTATACCTGCTTCACGGGTCGTGACCACCGTTCAGTGCGAGCTACCTTTCCTTGCCTCATCACCTTGTGCCAATTTTTATTGAGGTATGCATAGAACGCCACTTAGAGAGAAGGTACGATAGAAAATCAAATAATCTTTTTAAAACAATGTTAAGCATTTTTGTTGTTTTCATCGTAATAATGACTTATATTAAAACTAACAGTTGAGGGCGACCTTGTTTGCAAATATAGTGTTGAAATATGATCCAACGACCCTTTGCGGCGGTTACGGCGGTTACAGCTGGACACGCTATTAAATTTCTGCACCCACCTACCTTCATCCTATAATTATATTATTAAGGCTTTAGTGTGTAAACAAAAAGCGTGTCATTCAATAATTTGAATAGAATAGACCGTAGAGGAATAGTAGTCGATTGTGATTTGTAAGATGATGTATGTTATGAAAGGTTGCCGAGTGCGCGGAATGCTCATAATATTCATGTAACTTTCCGGCTCGCTCGCCAGGTCACCGACAATCATTTTGAATGTCTCACCTGACCCCATTCTGCTCCACCTACAAATCATTTAGCGAATTAGAGATACCCTTCTTACTAATTAGGTGATAGTGTTTTATTATATTTTATCTATAACTTATATTTAATTAGGTTATGTTTTGATCCGTGAAAGTTTCGTGTGAGTGTTCTGTGCACACTCATCTATACACAAGAGGTTTGTGTCGCCTTCTGATGTATTAACAAAGCATAAACTATCCGCCACCAGCGCGCAGCTTTCTCTTTCATAAATAATAAACCTGTTCAAACCGATTTCAACCGTACTAGGCTTTGTATCTATAGAAAGGATAATATATTGAGATGTTGTCATGAACCGTGTAGCGTGTAGGCAACAGCTAGCAGTCGTTGCGCTGTCGTTTTTTCGGTGTAGCCGCATTCGACGGTGCGATGTGCTCAGCCTCCCAGGATACATGCTCCTTTCTCAAATGGAAATGATTTTCTGCGTAAAAAAATTAAACTCTAATATTCTAAGTTCCGGTGTAGTATAAACACTATTTTGTACACGATTGTTTTATACAATGGCAAAGTAATGTATGGTCAATACATTCAAACTCCATACGATCTGATTTTTGGAGTTTCTACCGCGGATAAAATAATATTTGTCATTGCGTCCCTACCTGCCTCCACCTGTCTTGCACACGCCCCGCACCGCCCCGCCCCGCCCCGACCAGCTCTCGCCATCTTGTACCGATCACAAAATTCCTCTGTGTTTTTGTCACCTTTCTAATTCTATAGTGTTGTTTTGAATAATTATATTTAACTATGACTATTATGAATTTACGATGTGATAAAACAATTAATTACTATTACAATCGCATTTTTTTTTTCATCAGTTCCCGTACATCCTGTAAGTGGCCGGCCTGTTGCCCGACCGGCCCACGTTATTGTTTTCGGCCGGTATGGTGCTCTCTCCTGTCCACCATTGTTTTGGCTTTTGAAGCAAAGTCATCTCTTTGTTTTGTTCGGAATATGAATTGAAAACACTTTTTGTAATGAAACCGTTTTTGTTTTTAGCCATCGATGACGGGTTCGCCTCTTTCAGTCTTCACAATAGTGGTGAAAAGGATCGCGCGTGTAATTTATTTAACTACATCTGAAAATTGTCGGTGAAATTATTGAAACACATTACCATCTTCACCATCAGCGTGCATACGGCTTCAGTTAGACCTAAATAAGGCTGGACGCCTACCATAAGTTAGCGGTAACTAGGTCGTAGTCTACCATGTCGCCCAGGGCGGGAGGGTCTCGTGCAGATGCATTTCACGTTGAAACTCGACAAGCGAGTTTTGTTGTTCATCGCACTCTTTCTCTCGTCCCCAATATTGAGGATATTATACAAACTTTTACTTTCAATACCAATAAGTATGTTGTTACGATCATATATGCGTAGAGTAAATTGCGAATTGCATTTTTTTGAATACTTCAGTTTTGAAAAGGAAAAAACATATGTTGTGAACAGATTTATTGTTGAAGATGATGAATTACATGTTTAACAAATGCTAATACAAGAGCGGACCGGAAGGCTGTGCTCGTATATCGACATCCTCCTCGCCTCGGCTGGCTCCTTGCCATATCGAATCGAGATGGCAACACGAGCACGGAGTGCTCAGCCGAGCTCCCGACTTACACATCACTTTGACAGTCTTGTAATATATATAGAAACAAATATGCAATTTTGAATGGTAGTATACAGATTGACGAGTGCAGGCGTTGTGTTGTATCGGCAGGTGTATGTGGCACTGTTCGCGCCGCTGCGCGTCTCGCGGCGGCAGTTCCGGCGCGTGCTGCAGTGCATGCGCAGCGTGCGCCACCTCAAATGCCACGAGCTGTACGCGCACGAGAAGGTCACCAAGGTGGACAGCCTATCGCTCGTGCTATCCGGCAAGTGAGTACCGAACCACTATTCTTCTTGTCGCATTGCACTGGGAAGAGCGGCGTTTCAACTTTGCACTTTATCTTAAAACATTATGGGTAACATGCGTCCGTCAGGTAATCAAAGCTTTTCTTGGAATGTTTTTGCCGTTGACATCAGTAATTAAAATGTAAATTGTAATATCGTGCACAAAATCATGTCAGAGAGATGGTCATTGAATGAATCATTTAGTATATACACGTCCAGAGCGTCTCCCGTCTGCAACATACGTTTTAACCGTTTACTTGCGGAGATTCTGAGAAGTGTAGCCCTCAGCCGCAAATAGACCGCGCCTCCGCCGGCCGGCTTACTGTGCCGGCTGTCGGCCCCTGCGCGGCCCGGCCTGTCCTCGCCGCCCTCGCCACCCTCGGCGCCCTCGCCGCCGCCTGGAACACTACACCGATTTAATTAAATGAACACGAGGAGTCTCTCCGTGTGTGCTATATTATATTAATATCAATCATAAAGTTTACCTCTCATTGATTATATTTAATCTACAACGGCTTACAAACCTAATAACATAAAACGTTTCGTCGCCGACATTCGTAAATTCTAGAAATATTAATATTCTTCACTATCTGTTATTGCATTTGTCCGTTCGTTGCTAAAATATTATAGCGTTACGATACACGAATTTAATTAGTAATTTTGTAGTATGTTACTTCCAATTAAAAGTGCGTACACACTTAGCAAATATGCAACTAGGTCGCAGTTGCAGTGGCAGTCGCCACTAGTCACCTCGACCAACGCTACTCTTGTTCCTCGCCTAAATCCATAATCTGTTATAATATTATTGACATAATTAGTTATTTCGGTGTTAGATAATACCTTTATTATTTTCAATTCGGTTATCATTTGCTGTATATATTTATAGGTACAATACTAATCGACTTGTTAGGCGTTTTTCAAATTGATGTTTAAAAAAATGCTACATGAATAGGAGTTGTATTTAAACGAAAAAGAAGGTGCGGAAATTAGATGTTACTAATAACCCGCTAATATCGAGTAAACGGTAATTGTGTGCTATGTGGTATGTGTGTTACGTTACGCAATACACGAATGATTCAATTCAAAGGGCAGTGCAGTGGCAGTGGTAGGTGGCGGGGACAACCGGTGAGAACAGTTGCTCTCACGCTGCCTTCGCCGCCTCCGCCGCCGACCTCGCTTTCTGAATGAATCTCATTGCGAACTATTATATTGATTGTATGTGAAGTGGCGCGGTGCTCGCACCCTACCCACTCATAAAATGTATTACAATTAAATGCCTATGTCGCACTTCTTCAAAATTATTGCTGATGCAATCATTATGATTAATGAATTTCGTGTTATTCAATGTTAATTTTAATAAAATTTGTAGCAAAGATACTTTACATTGCACACCGTTATTTTGTGCACCCGTCGAAGCACTGTTGACCTGTCTGCGGAAAAACTGATCGTTACAAATGAAACAATACAGCTGCTGTATCGTCTCTGTTACGTCAAAAGTATGAAGCAATGTCCGCATTGTCGTATAAATGCAGATTTACTGTGACTGATACAAATACTATTGTAACATAGCCGGATTATATTATAATACTTTCCGACAGCGAATCGGTCCGCGTGTTTTATTAAAATGTAATTAAACAAAACCAAAGCGGGTAGCCTATATTATCTTCTAGACTATCCTCTACATCTATGCCTAATTTCATCGAAATCTGTTTAAACTCTCACAAACATTCACCTATCCATCCACCTAAACATTCGCATTTATAATATTAGTATATAGTATGATTATCTGAACACGACCGGCGTCTTCACACAAACTAAATGTTTAATTAAAAATTGAATTTATCAAGAGTCTACAGAGAAGCTTGTTTCCCATAGCACCGAAGATTGTCAGGATTTCAAAGGGGTGACCTAAACGCCCGCCGTCCTCCGAAACGTGACCTTTATCAATGCCGAGGGACTTGACTCCGCCAATGGGATTTTGGTGTCAACGGTCAAATATTGCTGCGTGACATATATACAAAGGTCAAACGGATCTATTTATATGCTGACATTTAATAAGGCCGAAAAGATACCGCCAAATGTATAGTTCGGTTTTATTTGCGTAAATAAATTTAAGATCGGTAAACGAAATGTGTGTCAAGGATGGATGACGACCTATGTGCCGGTTTCGCTCACAGTTTTTTTATGAAATGCGTATCTGTGGGGGGCGCGGCGGCGGCGAGCGACCGGCTGCGGCACCGAGCGGAGGTCGCGGAGCACCAGTCGGCGATGGGCTATCAGCATTGCTTTCACATCGTCGACCGGCAAGGCCTTGCGATGTTCGCTACAAAACATGTGAATACGTAAAAAATTAATGTCATGAAAGCGATAGGAAATGTCTTTAATGCTACGTTTTTTACCGCACATACAATACGTGCCGATGTACCTTTCCTAATTAGAGTTGAAAGTCACAAAAACAATCGGCATTTCATGACATGGAGCATTGTATGAGACCAATAGTTATCATTTAGGTGTAATAAAGTTTGATGCAGTAAGACATGTGTAAGACATGAAAGCGTAATATATGCGTGTGTGTGCTGTACTGTCCGCAGGCTGGTGGTGTCGCAGAGTCAGCGCGCGCTCCACATCGTCTTCCCGCACCACTTCCTCGACTCGCCAGAGTGGTTTGGCGTCTCCACTGATGAATATTTTCAGGTAATTTGTGCTAAAACTTAATTTAATATTTATATAAATTAATTTCGGAAAATGTAACGGAAGAAGTGTTCATCGCATGTAAATATTTATAAAGGTTGTGGACGTGTGTCATTGCAGGTGTCGATAATGGCGATGGAGGAGTCGCGCGTGCTGGTGTGGCACCGCGACAAGCTGAAGCTCTCCATCATGTCGGACGGCTTCCTG